AGTTATCAACATCCCTATGCCTCAGTTTCTTCATCAGTAAAATGAAAATAATAGTAGTAACTATTTCTAGAATTGTTCAGAAAAATGAAACATTGGATTTAAAGCATAGACTAATGTCTGGCATGCAATAACTCAAAGAACATTAGGATTTATGGTTGTGATGTTGTCATTGTTAACTGTTTTTATCTTACCCCTTCCCTCACCCAGCACCTCTCATTTCTAGGGTGCAGAGGATGACCACTGAAAATCAAGGGGACAGCTGATAAAGACTGGGTGATATGTGGTAGGGCAGACAGAAACAGTAAAATATGCACAACAATTTTAAAAATAGTACCACATGAAGCTATTTTAGAAAGGAGGCAACCTAAACAGTGCAAAATAAAAATTGATATCAAATGATGTTTCCGAGTTATCAAAAATGAGTGTATTTACCACGATCTTTTTACTAAGACAGGGGTGCAAGGTAAATTATAGAAAGATTTCCATCAAAATAATCCCTTGGAGCTGGGTTGTGTGGAGAGAGCTGATGAAACAGATAACATTGAAACTAGGCCTTGGTCTCAGGTGATGTTTGTATGTTCTAGGGCAGTGGTTTTCAACTCTTTAGATGATATTTTACAATGTATGGAGACATTTTTGACTGTCACAGCTGTAGGGATGGGGAGAAGTACTAGTGGCATCTAGTGGGGAGAGGCCAGGGATGCTGCTAAACATCCTGCATTACACAGGGCAGTTCCCCCCAACCACTGGCCCGCCCCCCACAAAAAGGAGTTACTCAGTCCAAAATGTCAGTAGTACAGCAGTTGAGAAATCCTCCTCTCGAGGTAGAAGTCAGTAGTAGAAAGAAGCCAGGGAGTTAAGAAGCCCAGCTTCTTCTCGTGACTCTGCTGTTAATGAGCTGGGCAATGGTGGGCAAACCATTTAACCTCTCTGGTCATCTCAAAATGAGAGGGTTGGATGAAATGACCTTTGGACCTTTCCATCTTGAACATTCTATGGGTGGAAATTGAGCATCTGTACTTGCATCTTTAGTTGAGGCAACATATTTGTGTTTATAGAGTCGTGGTACAAATTGAACAAATTGAATGAAGCCTTTGATAAAAAGGCTTTCTGTTTCTTAGTTTGCTGCTTTAATTTAATGATAATTTTGAGGGACAAAAGTTAATAGCATGTATATGGGATGTCAAACTGAAATAAATATTAACATGCAAGAACCTCAGAAGAAACATTTTGTATCAAGCTCTTAAGAAAAATGAGCTGTGTACAGAAAAACATCTACCTTAGGTCATGCAAAATTATGCTTGTATTGAGAAAGAAAATCACAACAAGTAGCTTTTGAACATTTTGATTTGTTGGACCAAATTGCGCTGACACCATCTCTTTTCAGTTCAAATAAACATTTATTCCAATAAAAGGAGCCACTGTGAACTTTGCTATTTGTGTGTATTTCTGGCTGTGCAGTGCCTCTAGTTTTGTGTGTTTACTAATCATACAGGCCTTAGAGAAGTAACACGTTATTTTCCAAATGCACCTTATTTTGTATCTAACTTCCGAAAATGGCTTCTAACCAAGCAAATCATGACAGTGGCTTTAAATTTTTCTAAATCTGCACCTGTATGAATAATGAGTATTTTAAAAAGATGCCCGAGTCCTCTCTATTTATGAAAGAATTTAATAAATGCCAACATCAATTTTAAAAATAACTCCAATGAGGTGTTTTAGTATGAATTACCAGGGGTCCAGAATGTGCCTCACGGTGGACGCATAAACCTGTGGAAATTTTTGGTGTGTTCTCAGGTTAATCAGATTCTGAAAGGAGTATTTGATTTTCCAGTAGGACTACCATCAAAAAAGTGAAGTGTACTGCTTAAAAAAGAAATTAACTCATAGGGCTTAAAATCTGCCAAAACCCGTCCCCCTCCTCTGGGGGAATGCATTTAGTTTTGCACTGAAAGTCAAGTTGAGAAACCTAATTTCCTTGGTATTGCTGATTCTAACATACTGGTTCAAAACTTCCCACAAGAGTAATTTTGCTTAAAAGAAAACTAAAATCAAGAAGACGTTTTAAAATTTCACAAGGAAATGTAAAGATTTCGATGTACAAATTCCCCAAATCTACCAGTGGACAGGAGAAGCAATGCCATAACCTTGCTTGACTCAGTTATCATGTTTTAGGGTATCCCATTCAGCAGTGGGTGCAGCATGGGGAAATAGCACTCTCTGCTGAAGGGAGGAAATGTACTGTCAAGGTGATAATTAAGACTTCTTCTTCCTTGTTATATTTTCACTTACCATGGCTGACCTTGTTTGAAAATTATTCAGTCTGGGGGATGTAAAAATATAAAGTACTTACAAAGTTTTGTGTAAGTGTGAACAGATGTGTACACATGCATGTGTATTTGTGTGTGTACACATACACGTCTTCTTAATGAAGATGCTGAACATTTCTATGGCCCACTCCACTCCTAAAATGATGTGATTCTAAAGGTTTTTAATATATATCCAAAGGAATGGAGACCATCATGTCAAAGGATTACCCGCACTCCCATGTTCATCACAGCTTGATTTATGTTAGCCAAGATGTGGAACCAACCTAAGTGTCCATTGATGGATGACTGGGTAAGGAAAGTGTAGTATGTATATATATATACAGTGGAACACTACTTAGCTGTAAAAAAGAATGAAATTCTGCCATTTGCAGCAACATGGATGAGCTTGGAGAAATCATGTTAAGTGAATTAAGCCAGGCACAGAAGGAGAAATACTGCATGTCCTCACTCATAAGTGGGAGGAAAGAAAGAAGGAACAAAAGAAAGAAAGACCACAATGAAACGTTGAAATTTCAGAAGGGTAGAACAGACTTATAGTTTCTACAGGCGGGAAAGGAGTAGGAGGAGGGGGGTTAGAGGGTAATTGTAAGAATAATTACAATTTGTAAGGATGAACATGCTGATAATATTGATTTGGTCATCACATACTGTACATAAATACTGATAGTCAACTTTGTACCCTATAAATATGTATAATTAATTATGTTTCAATTCAAAAAATAAATTAAAAAATAAAATAAAATAAAAAAACAACAAACAAACAAAAGAAGGTTCTTTTTAGATGAGTCCCTTTTTAAAATAGACATTTATGATTCATGTATATATAAGTGTAATATTTTGATGTGGCTAACAGTTTAACCGATCAATGCTAAGGGCTTTTGATAATGAATTGTCATCCACTTTGGGATGTTTGGAGTAAAGAGATGTCCACCACCAATTGTAAGAGATACAGGCTTTTGCTTGAGAAAAAACAATCAGGCGCAATTCAGGAGACTGGACTATTGACAACTTGATTCCTGGTCCTCATCAGCCAAGTAGTCTTCATTTCTCACCTCTTTCCTTTGTTCTTGTTATACATCCCAGAAATCTAGTTTCTATTAAATGCAGGGATTTTTACATACATTAATTTTAAATGTTTTTTACAGCTTTTTTGAGGTATAATTTGCAAAGCATAAATTTCACCTATTGATTTTTTTGGCAAATTTATAGAGTTGTGCAACCCTCACCACAATCAAGTTCTAGAATTCTTTCATCTTCCCCCAAATTTCTCTCCTACCCATTTGCAGTCAGTCCCCACTCCCACCCCTCTAGCCACCAGTAACCACTACTCTGATTTCTGTCTCTATAAATTTTCTGTTTCTGAGAATTTCATAGCTGGATCATGTAATACATAGTCTTTGTATCCTGTTTCTTTCACTTAGCACAACATTTTGAGGTTCATCAGTACTGCCGAGAGTACACATGTCGTGATAATTTAATCTTTTTAGTCACTGGATAGTATCCCATGGTATGGGCACACTGCATTGTGTTTGTTCATTCACCACTTGTGAGTGTTTGGATTTTTTCCAGTTTTGGGCTATCATTAATAACGCTGCCATAAACATTTATATACAAATCTCTGTGTGAATACATGTTTAATTTCTCTTGGGTAGATTCGTTAGAGTGGAATTTATGAATTAATTGTATGGTAAGTTTATAGTTAACTTCATAAGAAACTGCCAGCCTGTTTTCCAATGCAGCATTATAATTTTACAGTTCTACCAGCAATGCATGAAAGTTTCAATTTCTGAAAATCTTTGCCAATATTTGGTATTATCTGTCTTTTTTATTATGGCCATTTTAGGGGATGTGTAGAAGTATCATATTGTGGTTTTAATTTGCCTTTCCTTACTGTGCTTATTAGTCATTATATATCTTTCTCAAGGTCTTTCTATTTCAAGTCTATTCAAGTCTTTATTGGGATGATTAGATATCAAATGTGCAAAAAATGATCGCTGACCTTCACCTCAAATCATACACAAAAATAAACTCAAAATGGAACATAAGAGTGAAAATTATGAAGCTTCTAGAAGAAAACATGGGAAAAAAATCTTTGTGACTTTGGATTAGGCAAAGAATTCTTAAATGTGACACCAAAAGCACAAGGAATAAAAAAATAATAATAAACTTCAATAAAGTTAAAAATATTTGTGATTCAAAAATATCATTAAGAAAATGAAAAGATAAGCCACATACTGGAAAAAAAAACATGACCCAGTTACAAATGAGTGAAAGTGGAAGTCAGATAAAACCTTTCAGAAAGTGATAAAAACACTTGGCTTGGGATCCAAGTGTCCTAGTCCTGGTTCTGCAGTAACATAAATGCCATGGAACAAGTCACTGGATCTCTCTGTGCCATAGTCTCCTCACCTGTAATTCAGTAGGTGTGAACCAGGTTACCATTACAGATTCTCTCCCGCGATAAGCTTTTGTCAAGTAAAGTACTACTATAACAACCTGTACTGCTCTGATGACACATTGGTGGCTTCTCTTATTTGCAGACTGCAGTGAGAATCTGTTTCACTGTCACACAGGAAAGTGCCTTAATTACAGCCTTGTGTGTGATGGATATGACGACTGTGGGGATCTGAGTGATGAGCAAAACTGCGGTAAGTAGCATTGTTTCCCTAAGAGTTTTAATTTAAAATCACGAAAATTTATAGCTAAGGACTTAATGTGAGTAGGAGGCTAAATTATGAGATTGTCAGTTTATTTTTTAAAAGGTTTTTTTCAATCACTGGTCTCAGTCATATTTTATATGTAAATGTAATACTTCTTACATATACTAAGGAAATGTTAAAGAAGTGGGATGGAAAGACAGGTAAAGGTTGTTAATGTGTTAATATTTTTTTCTCCTTGAAAGTGCTCTGTTTCTCCTATGATTAGAGCCAGGGCTTACGTTTAGATTTTGAGCTCTTGAGCGAATCTTCTCAGGCAGATATATTGTGTGTGCCTGCCTCCATCTTATGTGTAACCAAAGACCCCTCCTTTATTTGATTGCCAAGCACTACAGGGACTGCTTGTGTCATAGCTATACCTAGGGTTAAGATGACACATTTGTTTTATGTACAAATACTGCTTTTCTTAACTTTAAAGAATGAACCTACCTTTCAAAGAGCCATGTTCAATTCTGAATGCCATTTCGTGAGTTAAAACCTGTTTATTTACCTTTTTGGCTTCGTGATTAGCTTTAACATTTTTAGGTTGTATATTATTGAATGACATAGGAATTTTGCAACATGAACAAAAGGGCAAGCTGGGATGAGGATGGACACTGGGAAAATGACATGAGACAGTGCTGAGCATTAGAGAATATCGAAAGCAACGTTGGGAAAGGATCCGGGGTATGATCAGAGAACGTTTGGGAGTGGTGAATATCAGAAACAACCCCATACTAAAAAACTTAGCAGTTTCTAGTTTCAGGGCATCCATAAAAATATTTAAAAATATGTATATGTACAAACCATCCCACAGGTGACTAGATAGACGTGGGTTATCTTCTGAATGACTAGTCTTGAGACAAAAGATGAGAAGGAATTGTAATTATATACATCATAGAATTTATGGTAGCAAAAGGCCTTAGAGATCATCTAATGCAACCTTTCCTTTTGCCAACGAGGTAACTGGGAAAATGCAGGAGGAGTGAGTCGAGCTTGGCAGGTGGATAAGTTACTGGAGGGGGCCAGGGTATAGTTAATGTGTGAAAAAGAATGCTGTTGCCATTCAGCATAGTGGCTCTGAAGATAGTAGGGTATCGTGAAGCTTGTGTTCTCAGGATGGCTATTGTCCTCATCTGATGGTAATAGTAACAACTTTCCCCTAGACCAGTCTCTGCATGGCTCCTGATCTTTAGTGGGCTGAGTATGGGTGGCTCTTCTGGTTCCTGCCCAAGCTTCCCACCCCCTGTGCTTTTCTTATTTTCTCTGTATATGTCTTCCATGTTCTTTGCTTTATTGCTCCAAAATGCCCTTTAAGATTCATGTCCCTTTATGAGTCTGTCTGTGACAGTGGCACTGTTAATGGAAACCCATGATTCTCCTTATTGAAATTGTTATTCATGAATCCACATCTTTTAAAGGACTTATGTTTAGGTTATACCACCTCTCATGGCAAAATATCCTATGGATTCTGCCCTCTATGAGAGGAAACTTATCACTTAGTTCTTCCCCCCTGCCCCAGGAATGTATGGAGTGGGAGAAAGTTTAGATCCAGGCCGAGAAGAATTGTGAAAATAATATAAGTTGTTTGTATTTCCTACCCAGCAGTTCTTTCAATGTGGGTTGTATATTAAGATAGTTCAATGAAAACTTAGGCTTAGTATCAGGAGAGATGACATAAGGAGATTCTTACCTTCCCAATTTACCAGAGAGAGGCGAGTTACAAATCTTAGAAACACGAGACAGCTGTCACATATACGTCAACTCAGCTATCTACATTGTGAAACACAAAACACAGTTCTGTTTATCAGTGTAGAAATCACAATTTTTTTGTAAGGAAAGAAAACAAAGCCTAAAGACAAGCACCATAAGAACAACTAAGGGTCCTGTGACAGTGGGGCTGCACTGTTATTCAAATGAAAAATAGATATGTCCTATCCCACAGTGACAGAGTGGTCAGTGGGGCACAAGCTTGGTGGAACATGGTGTTTTAATTGTGCCAGACCCACCATAGAAACGTTATTGAAGATATTGGAACAACTGGAGTGGATGCTCCTCAACGGGAACTGTGAGCCACAGGATTCTGAGTGCTTGTCCTGCTGGTTTTCTACATCCTCATGAATTTTCATCTCTCCAGATTGCCATCCCACAACGGAGCATCGCTGTGGTGATGGGCGCTGCATCACAATGGAGTGGGTGTGTGATGGTGACCATGACTGTGTGGACAAGTCCGACGAGGTCAATTGCTGTGAGTGCCCTGAGCATTCTTATTTTGTTGATATTTCCATTTCGGCTTGTTTAGACTGTTCTCAAGTTTCACTGTCTAAACAGCATCCGAGGGGAAAGATTCTTACACTTTGGTTCTAGCCTATAAAGAAGATAATGATCATCATTTTGAGTGGTGTGATGACAATAACAATGCGGTGCATCTGACTTCCACACTTCTCTCCCCCCAGCTCCAGGCTTCATTTGGTTGATCTGGCCAAGCAGGTGTTTGTTCTCTCTCATTACTATTGTTCCATGTGTCTCCTTTATGCTTCTGTGGCTTTGTCAAAGGTGATGCTCTTCCCGGAGACCGGGGGACCTTTCTCCCCAGATGATGGATGAGTAGCTAAACTAAGCTTCCCTGTAGGAGCCTCCAAACCTGTTCTCAGGGGCCATTTGAGGAAGAACATGGAGAGAATTTCCAGAGAGATGAGAGCCTTTCATGTTCACACAGTTACATGGACAGTGTGTGATAATAATAATTTTGTAGCCTGTTGTGTTTCTGGGTGAATGGAAATCTTCAGGTAGCTGTTACTGAACTGAACTAATAAATAACAAGTATGACTATTAACCCTTTTTTGCCCCATAGAAAATACAATATACCCAGTAGGCAATAATAAGAATGAGTGAATAGAAGTTAGATGTTAAAAGAGAGTACGATTGACCTGAAAGAGTTCATGTGATGTATTTTACGTGTGTTTGAACTACTTAAACTTTTTATTTCATCTTTTTGAATTTATTAAACTTTTTATTTCATTGTTTGTCTAAAAAATGTAGAAAAAGTTGATGTATATGAGATTGAATATTTAATGGGCTCATAATTTGAGGCAAAAATAGAAATGTGGATTGTACAGTTTTTATTCTGACGTGAGAAAAGTTATATAAACAGTTTCACAAGTACAGTGTCTAGCTTTCCCCTTCCCCGAATTGGGTTTAACGTGGAATATCATCTGAATCATCCTTGCTTAGTGGACACAGTGGGACAGGGTGGACTATTCTCACTGGAACTTGGAACATGACACTCAAGTATAACTTTTCTGGTGTTGAGCCTTAATTCAAGAACAGTAGGCTTTAATATTAGGTAGTAACTCCGTGAAGGCTGGTTCACATGATACATGGGCTTCTGATGTTCTAAAAGACAAAAGGTATGGAATTTAGGAAACGTATAGGAAACTTTTTTTGTTTGTTTTGGCCGCTGGCCAGTACAGGGTTGAACCTTGGATTTTGGTGTTATCAACACCATGCTCTAACCCTATAGGAAGCTTAATGGCTACTAGAGCATAACTTTTAAATATCAGATGTCATTAACAAGTTTTGAAACAAAGTGTTTATTGTGTGTTAGGTACTATGTGAGTTCTTTCACATATTTTTTCCATTGGCTCATTAGGTCAGGAAGATGTAGAATGAAATATTTGGGCTGAAGTCAGAAAAGCTTGCATCACATTGTGGCCCTACCTCTCGACAGCCATGGGACTTTGAGATAGGCAATAAACTCTCTAAACTTCTGTTTTCTCATCTGTGAAATGAGAATGACAATATTTATTTTGTAAGATATTTTTTATGAGGATTTGAGATCATGTGCATATGCACCTAGCACAGCTCTTACCATACAAGCAGTTGTATATAAATTGTAGTTTTTACTATTAATAGTATCACTACTACCATCATTAAAAACAATCATGCAGTTCCCGAGAAAAAGTTAACATTTCATAAGTGCCATTTAATAAGGCAGGAAAAATTCTAGAAAGAAAATTTTCCATTCTCTAAATGCTTGGAATTAAAAAAAAATGAAACATCCATTTGTGTATGCATTTCGTGGTAATGGCCCATAAGTGGGAATCATTTATATGACCTGCAGACAGAAAGAAGAATTAATAAAAAAAAAGTGAATATTATTCTGCCTTTCCTAGCCTGTCACAGCCAGGGTCTGGTGGAATGCAGAAATGGACAGTGTATCCCCAGTACTTTCCAGTGTGATGGCGACGAGGACTGTGAAGATGGGAGTGATGAGGACCACTGCAGTGACAGTGAGTGGGTTGCACCGCCCCTGCAACTTTCCTTTATTGGGGGACTTTTCCTTGGGAACAAAGCAAAGTGTTCAAAGTGACCTAATGCTTAAATAGAATTTTCAAATAAATAATTCCAAATCGCTAGCCAGGAAACCCTTTCCCGTGATAATTATACTACTCAAGCAACTTGTGCTGAAAAACGTTTCCTAAGGGTAGAGGGTAGAAGTGAAACACCTAAACAGCATGGTTGCATTCAGTGAACTGTTTTATGGGGAAAGCCATGATAAAGAGAAATTTTAGAGCATAGTGTCCAATGAAATGAAATTAGATTAAGAGGAATTGTCTTCTGAAATTAAATGTAACAACTTCCTAAAATAACCACATTCAGAGAAGCAGTTTAAAGCCTCACATTACCAAGCAATACACTTAAATACACTTTAAAAGGAATCTGATATTTGTGTGTGAGACTCAAAAAGAAAAAGTGAATCAAATCGGTTTTTTAAGTGTGACTATTTCTATCAGAAAAGTTTCACACTGATTGTTTTAAGCCTCTGTTTGTGTAGAAGCTTCTTGGTATGGAGCTAGTAAGAATATCCCTAGACTGAAAAACCACTACATTTGTTCGTATGATAGAGGCATAACCTCATTGTTAAAAATGTGGTTGTTGCAGCCCTGCTGCCTGAGTTCAAGCCCCGCATCTGCTACTTACTGTCTGGTTGACTTTAGGCAAGTTACTTAACTCCTCTATGTCTCGGTTTCTGTGCCTGTAAACTCAGAATGATGCTAACTACTCCACAGCGGTGGCACATGCTGAGTACTCAATAAATGTTAGCTATTATTACACACGAATTATGTTAAGGCATTTCTTGGGCTCTGTATATCCATAATCAGCTAATGGTCACCTGTAGATAAATTAGTTTTGTCATAATGAATACTTGATCATTAGAATAACTTTAATGAGAAACCATCCAAGACCTAAAGGGAGAGCTTTAAAAGCACAGACTTTATTACATAAAAATAATATAGAAAGAGTGCTTTGTTTTACTCATTTTAAAGTTCAGAAGGAAATCCTTTACCAGGCACAAGTTATTGTGGGCATTATCAACCAAAGCCCCTCCCTTTGGATCAGATTGTTCTTTCTTTCTATATAATTCAACTCTGAAATAATTTGGGGTTCTTCACTGTGTAAGGGCCAGATTTGTAGATTATTTTCTTCCATGTGTGAGATGTAAAAAAGTCATATGATAAAATGAATAACAAAGTAAAATTTTATTATCTTTATAGTAATTATTCTAATGAATTCAACTAAAAATGTATATTGCGGTGCTAATATGTGTTCATCCCCTGGGGATTCAGTGGCAAGCAAAACAGCTGATGGAGCTTGCAGGCTGCTGGGGGAGACCAGCTTGCTACCAATAATTGTGCAAGTCAGTGTCTAACCACGAGTAACGCAGGCTACACAGGGAAGTACAGGGTGCTGTGATGCCATCTGTGGTGTGCATGTCCCGGTACAGGGCCTCAGACAAAGCTCCCCCAAGGAAGAGAGATTGGAGCTCAGATGGTAAAAATTAGTGGAGTTCACAAAGAAGAAGGGGGCTTGACAAAGCGTCTCAGACACAGGGCACTGCTTGACCAGCAGTCCCAAGGTGGGAAAGAACAAGGCATCTTCTGAGCAGTAGGGTCCTGAGAAAAGGCCATTGTGATTACAGAGCTGAGAATGAAGGGGAACAGGGTGCAGCATCATAATTGTCATTAAGATTACAGGCTTGCTCTGCTAGACAGGGCTAGGGAGGGAGCAGGACCCATTTCTCCCAAGGCTTTGGACACTGTCGAAGATTTAGGTCTTTAAACCCTTCAGGCTCTGTCTCTGCACACCTGTCTGGTCTCCCTTACCCTCCTTCTCAGTGGTTGAAGCTCCAGTGACTTTGACCTGTGCACTTTCCTCCTCCAGGCCTGTGCGTGTGCTGCTGTTCTGCTTGGGAGACCCATCCTCTTACCATAACTTACCCCTCTGTCTGGAAAACTCCTTTGAGAAGTTTCCCTTTATGACCTAATCTGCTTCTGTTGCTCTCTATGTGTATCTTTTGTAAAGCAGTGATCACACAGCATCATAAGGTTTCATTCATGGAGATATCCTTATCAGAGTACAAGCTATATCACAGAGAGCTTCATGCCCATTTACCTTTTCATGCCCAGTGCCTAGCCTGTCACATAGACTTGTCACATAGCAGGAACTTAATATTTGCTGAAATAATGAGTGCATGATGTCGTAGTAAAATTTCCCGAAGAGCCTAACTCACGGAAATTGTTTAGGTTTGCCTTAAGAAAAAAGTTTGACTCTGCTTACATTAAAAATAAAATAAAATAAAATAGAAAAACAGTGACATCTCTTTTCTGCAAGGCTATCTATCGTATTAAGTTGCACATTAATGGTACTGCAAAGGAGAAAGATTCTGGTATAATAAATATTGTCTTAGAATTATAGGCAAGGATTATATATACACGCATAATATTATTTATTCTTAAAAGTGCCTTGCAAGATTTTCTAGATTCCAGATGACATATCTGAAAGTAATTAACCATAATGGGGGAGAGATGGAAAATGGGCAGGAATTTATTATCTTATCCATTTAATCTACAAATGATCAGGAAATCAATGGGAAAACCAGTTTCCTTTCTACATACCTTAAGGAAAAGCCATTAGGGCAAAGGCTAATGTTACTGCTATCTTTCATTTGGAAACAAGAAACCCGGTTCTCAGGTCATCACAGCTAGTCTGATGATACTTTCCAAGAATATACTGAGAACATGGGTAACAGCTGCATGTGACTTGTATTGTGATAAAGTAGCCCTATTGTATTGGTGTTGATACCCTATTTATTATTAGGGAAAGCATTTTCTTAGAGGGAAGAATAGAGTAGGGAGTGATTGAGTTTTTAAAATAATGTCATTTAGTATTTACAAATTCAAGATCTTTATATTGCTCTCTCCCTCAAGTCACTTGAGTTTTATTTTATAATCAAGTGTAGGCATTTCCATTGAAAGCAACAGCCACCTGTTTTTTAGTGTAGGTTGTCTCTGATTTCTTCCTTCCTACAGATTGTTTTTAGAATAAATGAATTGTATTTAGTTGCCAGGAAAATTAATCCAGAAGGTACTAATTCAATGTGTGTTCAATATTTTTAGAGAAATTGGAAGGAAATTAATGTTGTGTCATTCCTCAGCTCCACCAGACATTCTTGACCCTTTAGGTCCTAGTGTAGGGAATTTACAGATGATGAGAGTTAATGTGCCCTTTTCCCCTTCCACAGGTCAGACTCCATGTCACGAAGGTAACCAAAGATGCCTCTACAATTCCTGCCTCGAATCATGTGGTGGTAGCTCTCTGTGTGACCCTAGCAACAGTCTGAATAACTGTAGTAAGTACAATAGCTGACGAATGCAATAACCATGTCAGGATGCACATTTGGCATTTTTCTTCTACATTGACATTAAAATACTGAAGTTTGGAATCCCTCCAAAAAAGTATATCCACATATTTTCCATTTCTTTTCTAAAGTTTACATGTGGTAGCACAAAGAAACATAATGGTCCTAATTAACTTATATCAGAAACAAATGTGTCATTGTGAGTGGGCTATAAATCCACATTGTTTAATATCATTACCATCACTTTCAACTTGACATCAACTCCTATATATTATTTTCTTGGCTCCATCTGCAGTCAGATGCTATCTTTCTTCCTTTTTAAAGCACAGCTTCGAAAATGGAAACTTTATCCAAGAAGCAAATATGTTGAAATAGCCACATAAAACTTTGGCGGTCTGTTCTTTTAATAAAATTTATTCTCATCTTTTCAGGAACTTTAGTGACCTATAATGGTTTTGGAATGATTATGTTAACTTGTTTCAGTGACAAGGTAACAGCTCCAAGTGTTGTAAGCAGGTAGCTGTCTCTAAAGTGGCATTCAGGAGGAGGAATTATTTGGGGTAAGATGGAAGAGCATGTATAGACGACCACGGGAAATTTAAAATCAATCAGAAAATCTCCAGTGACGGATTTCTAGTCATGACTTCTTACTACTGGGCTCTGCTTTCATATAATACTCATTGATTTCACTTTTTTTTTTTTTCCTTTTTTTGTCTTTTTTTACTGACCGGTAGTGGGATCGCAACCCTCAGTGTTGCGCCCGCACCGCGCTCAGCCAGTGAGCGGGAACCGGTCTCCACATGGGATCTGAACCCTCGGCGGGAGCGCCACCGTGCTCCCAAGCGGCGCACTCTCCAGTGCGCCACCGGGCTGGCCCAATTTCACTTTTGATAACTAATTTTTTTGCCTCACCTTCAGCTTGGGGCTAGAAATTTGGAAGCAGGTCAGTCAGCTGTTAGTTGGCAAGAGGGTATTATTCTTAACTCACATCCTCTCAGTAGGAGGCTGCTGGAAGCTGGGAGACTGACAGGCCCTTAGATTTGCTGCAGTTTTTGGGTCCTAGTTTTACCTGGTGACTTTTCTGGGTCAGGGTAGAGCTTGTAGGGTGCCCCTGTAACTGTTAGGGAGTCTCAAGGGGTGAAGAGTGTGAGCCAGGAAGGGATTCAGGGAGGCAGCCAATGAAAAACCCAGACTGCCAGGACTTTTGTTTTCATGGGTACTTAATAACTGCTTGGCTGAAAGCACGATGCCTGGCCTTCCTCCGTTTCCCATATGAGAAGACAGTTTCCCATATGTGAGAACAGTAGATACTTCATTTCCCATATGAGAGATCAGTAGCTATTTGTTTGGCCACTAAGAAGTTACAAATTGCCACTTGATTCCCTATAAAATGATTTTAAAAAAAACTATATATATATATATAATGGTACTCATATATATAGCTATAATAATATATTATATAATAAGTAAATATGTTATAAATATACTTTATATACAATATATTATAAGTTTCTATATGCATACATACACACACACATATTCATATTCTGAGTCCATTGTTTCCATTGTTTCATTTTGCTTATGTCCCAATCTGCCCTGGAACATTTTCAGGATCATTTCTTTGCTTTCACCTTGGGATGAGTAATTTTGAACAGTGATAGTGTCATCTCAAAAACATGTGTTTATTATTAAAGTTTTGGGGGTTGTTTGACATGGAACTTAGGCTCTTTGATGGTGAAGAAGGGAGAACTGACCCTAGCTTCCTGGAGATGAGTTTTCAATGTGGAGGAACATACTGCTGTCTTCCCACTCATGCATACTGCAATGGTTTTTCTTTATGTACTTCAAATACACTCAGTTTCCCTGGCTTCTCACTGTCTCACCAGCTTCCTCACTTGCTACGTATGTACTTGCCAGGTTCTCTCTATATGTACGCAGTGAACATTTGAATGGACCTGCTTCTGAGTGCCAGACACTGGGTGAAGCATTGGTCCTTCATTCCTTCTGCGTCATTAAAAACAGTGTGTGTGCCTAACTTCTGGTTGAGAGTCAAGATGCTATACCTGATCATTTAGAGAGCTTCAGGTATATGCGTGCTTGGTTCTTTGTAAAGGTGGACAAATAGCATCTTGTCTCAGAAAACCTTTCATGTACTTGAAAATGTGATTAATTATTTGAAGATTTTTACCACTGTCAGAAACTGTTATTACTTAGCCTCTGGGGCACAACTAAACAGCACTCTTTTTCTGTGGATTGATGCCAACGGAGAATGTGAGTTTGGAGAATGTGGACATTCTGTTTGGTGGAGCCAGCCTTTCACTGGAGTTGCTCGGATTCTGGTCTTTGAAGACACTGGTTCTTGCCGTCCCATACAATGTTATACAACTTTCTAATGGTCTCTGAAGATAAACTGGGTGGGACCTAGTCATCAGTATTTGAAAAATTCCCCAGGTGACTCCAGCGTGTACCAAGATTGAGAGTGACTGCTCTAGTGGCATGTTTGTGACTAGGCTGCAGGAGTATATGACTCCTCTGAAATTGGACGTGAAAAGTTTTCCTATTCCTACGTGCATTTTTTAATAGAGAAGGCCCATGGCTTAGCTTAGATTCTGCTAAGCGCCTACAATTTTTTCTCAAAGCCTGAAAACCACATCTCTGATAAGAAAGTGTGCTGATAGGCTTGAAGTATCACAGTTGTCAAGGAACAGCTTTTAGCAGCCTGCATTACTGCATCCAGTCACAGTCTAGCATCTAACATCTTTGTGCCCTGCTGAGAGGCAAAATATAGACATATCCTTGCCTTAGGGGGTAGGAGCAGGAATGCTATCTCCTTTCACTCTGGTGTAGAGGGACTTATCCATCATTTCCCACTTGTAGCGGGCAATCCAGACAGCTGGTGGGGAGGGGGGGGGGCTGGCCCAAAAAGCAACGTCTGGGATTTCTCCCTCACCTCCTAAGCCCATGTTCACTATGGCAGTGAAGCCAGGTATGGCTGTCATGCCCCAGGCTTTCTCAAGTTTCCCACAGAGTTCTATTCACCTTTGTTTACCTTTATCTGTACATTTTTACTCATGCATTTTTTCCCCTTCCACATTGTAAGGCTGTTATTCAACACCAAGGAAGAAATGAACAGCTTTGCTCTTTGAGTATATTCCTCTGGCGTGTTAATTTCCTTCCATCTCTTTGCAAGCTCCAGGTGGAAGGAACAAATAGTATAGGGGTGTGGTAAAAAAAAGCCAAACACCATAATGGCCAAGGAGGTCAGTCCTTGGGAGCAAAAAAAAGAGAGAAGAGTGATCTCTTTATAAAAGTATTTCCCAACTAATAAGTGAAAAATAAATGATTGAATTAGAATATTACTATTTGATAACAGTGAATTCATGGGTCAGGCTCAGAGCATCTACCGCTGCTGACATTGCAAGAAGAGGGAAATCAGACATGATGTGGCTTCTGATGAAAGAACACCACAGCCACTGCAGTCTTGCCAAAGAAATGAAGCCTAGTCAATCCTCTGGATTCAGCTGCCAATGTTCAAGAGATAAAGAGGATGGGGGAACATGTTTAACCTCACCAGGCATGTGCAATCAGCAAAATCCAAACTGTAGTACACTCCACAGGTCAAATCCCTGGACTCTGCAATAGTTAAATTATAAAAAAAAAAACAATAAAAAATAAAAAATCGGAAAGAGGGGAACCCAGAGATTATAAAAGACTTAAAAGGCAAGTTGAAAAATGGGTGAGTCTAAAATTCAGTATGTAAGGAATGGTGCACACTTAGTTAATAAAACTATTAGGAGCAAGGAAGTGATAACTATGAAACTCATTATCACTTTGAGGGGTAAGGAGGAGGTTGCTATAAGACAGGGTATGTGGAGGGGTTTCTGCGGTGTCTGGAAAAGTTCAGTTTGTTGACCTTGGTGATAGTTACAAGGGTGTTCACCTTATAATAGCTCATCAAACTATTAAAATAGTAGCAATAAAGAGTGACTTAGAGTTTGAGGCAGAGATGAATTATTAAATATTATATATACAACTGAATATAGAAAGCCACACTTTTCACGTAAATGATCATCAGTTAATACATGACTTCCAGTGACTTCAGAGTTTTGCATCATGACAAAGACGTAACATCATTTAGTTAGCAATCCTGTCTTTAGGTTGAATTTAACAAATCTTGTTTCAGACTTTGGAAGGTGGGATATCATTCAGACTCTATTAGGATTATTTTTTTCTCATTCTCAGCAGATATCTATTAAATCTTATGTATAATCAGGACACAGCGTTAAACTCGCACTGGAAAACCAGTTTTGTGGCGAACATTCTCACGTTTGTGACGCGATCGCCCTCTAGTGGCTATTGTAAATCAGGATCATGAGTGAGCTCAATGCTTAAGATAAAAAAGCTTTTTGGTATCATAAATCATAGAATTTGCGGTTGACAGATATCTTGAGAGTTTGTCTTGCCTTAGCAATATGTGAAGAATGCTTTATGAAGGAATAAAACACAAGATTCAATCAACCTTACCACATTTCAATAAAGATCCCCAGAATAATATATGATCATTATTAAATCCTTTCATCTCCCTTGGCTCTGAAACACTTAAAAGTTATATGTTATCCCAAATCAAAAGTGATAGATTCTCCATATATCCAGAGAGAGAAAAAATTATCCATGTATTATGTTTTATTAATCTTCTAAATGAAACATGCTGACAAAAAGTTAAACGTTGATGGTGTGGTAGAGAAGGAGAGAAAAAGGGAAGGCATGTACAGGAAAAAAAGATGGCAAAAATCTGTATGAATTATTTTTTTAAAATTGTAGGTATACTAAAGAAACTAGGAAAAAAGTATAGAGTTAGAGCTGCGTCTACTGACTAGTAAGATGGTCATGATAGAGAAGGAACAGCAAGCTGAAGATTAATATGGACAGAGTGATTTTGCTTTAGCAAAATAAAAGCACATCTCTGTGTGAGTGTGTAAATACTTATGTGCACAAATGTGAGGACAGGAAAGACATGGAAGGACTCACACCACTCTGTTGGCTTTGAGAGATGGTGAGAGGAAGGGGAGTGGGGAGTTGATAAACTGTTTCTTCGTTCATCTTTGTGTTGTTTTTATTGTTATGAGGAACATGTCTTTTTTTTTTTTTTTGGTAATCTGAAAGCAAATATTTGAATGTTACCCATTGTCTTAGTTTGGGCACTATAACTAATTACCATAGACTGGGTGGTTTATAAACAACCAACAAACGTTTCTCACAGTTCTGAAGGCTGGAAGTTCCAGCATGGATGGGTTCTGGTGAGGGCCCTCTTCTGGGCTGCAGACTGCTGACTTCTCACTGTATCCTCACATGGCAGAAAGAGGGTGTGAGAGAGCTTTCTGGGGTCTTTTTTATGAGGACACTAATCCCATTCATGAGAGACACCCTCTCATGACTTAATCACCTCTCAAAGGCCCCACCTCATAATACTATCACATCAGGGGTTAAGATTTCAACGTATGCATTTGGTGGGGACACAAAAAATTCATCCATTCCACACCTCCTCCACAAATCAAAGCAATTAATAAACAGAACCAACCCCATACTCCTCTGCCTCATCTTCTCTCTGCCATGTGCTCATCCTTAAGATTATGCCACCTTTACAGTATTGTATCCTCCCCAAGGAACTGACAGTCATGTTAAATTGTCCAGAAGATTTTTAGTATGGCTAGCGTCAGTCTCCTTATAAACGTAATGTCTGTGAAGCCCCCAGATTCTTTAAATTAAGTAGTCCCAGAGCTGTTTTAATATTTCACACCAGTCCTCATTGCTAATCTATTTGCATGCATACCAATTCTTAGTCAAATAATTAAGTTAAATTTGAATAGTCACTCAATGAGGCATGGAGTTTTTAGACTGCCTGGGACAATTTTACCAAGACACTTGCTCGATTACTTCTCTCCCTTCAGGGAATATAATACGACTGTGAACAGAAGGAACAGGGAGCCTCTCTACCGCGTTCCCCCAAACCTGTCCAAATCCCATTTATCCTTGGAAGGCTTCCTGAGTTGCTCTTGCTCCATCTTACCCCTTTGGGCTCCTAGCATTTTGCTCAATACTGCTGTCTTAGTAAATTCAGACTGTTACAACAAAATACCACCGACTGGGTGGCTTAAACAACAAACATTTATTTCTCATAGTTCTGGAGGCTGGAAGTACAAGGTCAAAGTCCTGGCAGATTCAGTCTCTGGTGAGGGCTCACTTCTTGGCTTGCAGATGGCCACCTTCTTGCTGTATTCTCATATGGTGGAGAGAGAGCTCTAGTCTCTTCCTCTGTTTATAAGGACATTAATCCCATAATGGGGGCTCTACCCTCATCTAGACCTCATCTAAACTTAATTATCTCCCAAAGTCCCCACCTTCTAATGCCATCATATTGGGGGTTAGGGTTTCAACACATGAATGGGGGGGTGCACAAACATGATTACCTCTATCCTAGCCTGCTTACATTTATAATACAGCTACCAGCACGTGTGTCTTTTTTCCTTTCAATACTATGGAGTTCCTCAATGGCTGGGACTATATATTTTTTAAAATTATTTTTACATTTGCAGTGCTTAGGATAATTCCTGACATATTTTCTTCCTCTTTTCCTTTCTTCATTCTGGCACTGTGCTAGGTGCAGACTTTGAGAAATAATGTCTCATTTCTCAAAAATCTCAGAATTATGCTGGGGCGGCAACTAAGTAAATAAAAAACACAGCAAAGTGCAATGAGTGTATGACAGGAACATGCCTGAGATGCTATGGCACTCAGAAGAGACTCATTCTGGGAATAGGAGTGGGGAGAGTGGTTGGCCAGGAAGGCTTCCTGGTAGACGTATCTGTGCTGAGTTCTCCAGCCAAGGAGGAGTTAGCTTGGGGGAGCTGGGGAAGGATCCTTTCAGGCAGGGGGTGGTGATGCACCTTGCAGCTAGAACTGTGACCCCATTTGAGGGGATGCTTACAAGTATATCAAGAAAAGAAGGGAGTAAGAGAGGAGCAAACAGATAAATCCTTAAAATATCGGGTGCCACAAAGGAACAGAATTCATTGCAGCAGAGATACTGTGGTAGTCACAGGCGGTGAAGCTGGAGAGTTGGGCTGTGGCTGAAGTACAAAATAGCCTTGGATTCCAAACTAAAGGGTTTGCATTTTGTCTCTGTGGCAAGGAGTATTTCACAGATCTCAGCCTCCCCTTGCTCTGGAATTTTGTAGCCTTGTATTTAAATCTGTAGATCAATGATAAAACATATCGACAGAAGTTATCTAGCTGCGTATTTAATCAAGTTCATTGATTTTAAAAAATGGCTGTGAAGATGATGGGGCTATATTATTTTAGATGTAATGAATAAATCAGAAGAAGGTGAATTGAAGTGAATAAAAGGAACGTTGAAAGAGAGTCATTTTCAGATAAGTTGAACCAAGGGAAAAAAAGAAAGGACTTTCAAAAACCTGCATGTTGGACACTGTGCTAGCAACGACATACACAGAACTGAATCTTAGTTTACAGTGGCACTTCATTAACCAACATTTACTTTTTGATATCCACAGAAAAATGTTAGATACTACTTGCATGTATTCTAGTCTTAGCTACTCTAAAGAGAGTAAAATAGATTTCAAGTTTGTAAAGTTTAAAGAAATTGTTTTTACATGTGAAACTTAAAAAAATGCATTTATATGTGTGCTTTTTCGTTAGGTCAATGTGAACCAGTTACACTGGAACTCTGCATGAACTTGCCCTACAACTACACAAATTATCCAAATTACCTTGGCCACGAGACTCAAAAGGAAGCGTCTATCAGCTGGGAGTCCTCTCTCTTCCCTGCTCTTGTTCAAACCAACTGCTACAAGTATCTCATGTTCTTTGCTTGCACCATTTTGGTACCAAAGTGTGATGTGAACACAGGCCAGCGTATCCCCCCTTGCAGGTAATATGATGGGGTCTCCCCCAGGCATCCTCATTTTCCCTGGGAAAGTACCAAGGGAATGAAGACTTAGTTGAATTTGGACAAAGTAAATATTGCTAATGACATATTTAAAAAGTAAAGAAGCAGGAATTGTAAAATGAATATTTGAGTAAGAATTCATTACTCAAGTACCAAACAGAGGAGCTATGAACTGCCTTTGACAGTAGTTCATGTCCTTTAATCAAATAAAATCATGTGTTATTTTACTTTGGTGGATCAAAAGTGTTTTTTTAAAGAAATGATAGTTAGCAAAAGAAGGGGCGTATCTGCTTCTTTCTCTGGCAATGCTGAGGGCTTGAAATGCTGCATTCTGATAGCACTCAAAAGTCAGAGATATTACACAGGGAGACAAAACAGCAGCCTCACAGGTAGGACAGGGATGGACATGGCTGACATTTTTCTGCTTGTTTGAGTGAAATCAGGATGGTATTTCAAGAGTGCGGCTTGGACTGGACTTTGGAGATGAGTGATATCCTAGGGTCAGGAGTAGGCTCTGGGTTCCACGCCTGAGTTAAAGTTCTGGTGATTCTCTAGCTGCTCGGTAGCCTTAGGATCAGCCTCAGTTCCTTTACCTGGTAAAATAAGTATAGTAATGGTTGTTTGGTTGGGTTGTTGTGCGAGTCAGTGAATGTGCATAGATGTTAAGTACTTTGATAGATTGCAAGCCCTGAATAAGCAATAGCTATGATGACAACACAATTGCTTTGTGGCAGTTGTGTCCCTCTTCTACGCCATGTGTTAGGGTTGTAGTCAGAGAATTTACACAGACAAGATGACTGTTACATAAGTGGGTTGCTACTCTCTTCAGTGCTGTTTTCCATCAAGGGATGAGTGTGCAGATGTGCTTGCTTAAACATGGTATTGACAGAAACCATATGCTGGGATCAGAAGTCAGAGCTTTATGAAAAAGCAATAATATCAGTGCAGTGGACAGAAGGGAAAACAGTAAATTATATGCCGAATATCAAATGGACGGAATAGTAAGGGCATCTGTCGAGTCAGGACAGGGAACAATAACATTTCAAAATGACTTGGAGAACTGAATAAATTATAGAAAAAAGAGTATAACTTAATGTTACCTTGTGCAAAAATAGTTCTGAAAATTTCTGTTAAGTGACTCTTAAAACATCTCTAATAAAACACCTACCAATTTTATGTTAAAAAGTTATTTCTAAATTTTATTCCACTTTTTCTAAGCAAGGTCAAGGATAGCAAATAATTATTTTTAATAGTATTTAACTAATTCTTGTATTTGACTTTCTTGTCATATGTATATAAATTTTTTCCTACTGCAGCATTCCTGCTACAAATGTAAATGTAAATTTACATCTAGATACAATTTGTTATTTCACAGCTAAAGTTTTATATTAAAATGCTTAAGATGAGACTTTCTCAAATGTTATTCAATCAACATTTTGGTGAACTTCTTTTGAATGCTTTGATTCTATTTCTCAGGTTTACTCATCCATCCTTTATCTTCAGTGGCTATCAATGTGAATTTTAAATTTTGATATTAGTTTATAAGAAAAATTTTTAATATTGTGATAAGAATAATATTCTAATAGGTCCATGAAGTAATACATAGTTTCCTTTGCCAAGTCTGTTTATTAATCTTAACATTTAATTTTTAAATTATGAGTCTGACAAATCTAACATTATTGAGCCTTTACAATGTGCTAAATACTTGAGAGTCATTATGCCATCTTAAGCTTAAAGTAACCTTTTGAGTGAGGTGCACACCATCAGGGCTGCTGCCTATGGCTGAGCACTACACAGATTATATAGTAAGAACAGTGTGCCTGGAGTTGTGGTGCTGTATACCACTATTTCCATTTTATAGAAAAAATAGGAAGTGGTAGAGTCAGGCATTATACTGTAATTGTACCATATTATATATAGTCTTCCATATAAATAAGGTATCATATGGTTAATTTAAAATAGAAGCAGCAATTGAGAGATATAAATTTGTTATAAATTTGCAACAAAATTATTTAGTCCAACAGTTATGAACACTATCAAATTTCCCATTTTTTGCACACCTAATATGAGAGTGCCATGCTTTTGTCTTTGCCCCAAATTCCTAGACTAAACTAGCATCGAGTCATGCTTTGCCTCATCCAGACTTAAACCTAGACAGAGATTTCTTGGAAACTTCCCCATTTGATTGCTAACCTTTCCCTACCAGTTTCTATCAAGACTGGAGCTGACCTTTCTAGAAGGTCTGTCCCATTTTATCTAAAAAATGAGAACCTGGTTGAGAGTACTTACAGTTTAAAGTTTGAATCTTTTGAGAAGAATACATTTGAAAGAAAATAAACTTGCCTAAGAACTTTTTGTTTATTTATTTTTTAATTATGTAACTAATGTCTTAGTAATATATTGAGGCAAACCATGTTTTTTTTTTCCTTGAGAAGTAAAATCTTCTTTGAGACATGCTGATATCTTACATTAAACATATTTTGGGTGCAAATGAGAACACATGAAAGCACTCAGTGCAATGCTTAGTATATTTTTTTCTTTAAAACAACAAACTTCATTTTAACCAACTTGAGCTCAAGACAGATGGATTTGGGAGAAATACCATGCTTGTCAACAATACTGGTCGAAGCAGAAGTAAGGGAGACCATGCCTTAGTAAGCCAGGCAGCACTTGAGATGGCTCACATGGCTGGTCAGACGCTGGGGACATACTCCATAACCCTGGTGGAAGACTTTCCAAAGCGATGTTGGCACCTTCTCTGCTTGGAACGAAAGCTTGGAGAATGTGTCTGCTCAAAAACAGGTGAGAGAATAAGAAAGGCAAAGCAGGGAAGGGAATCTCTGTCTCAGAAACTTCTCTATTTCTTTTTCTGCAATGATGTCTCTTTTGCTGAATGTATGTTACTGAAATGTATTCTCTGTAGAGATATTACCTGTTTGGGTTTTCTGAATACCTATATGTATATGTGCGTATCTATATATTTGTATACATACATCTTGCATACACACACGCACACAGAAGTTAAACTCTGTGAACATTCCTAATATACATCTCAGATTTCTGCTTCTAACACTTTGTCTTTCTTGCTTTTTTAGAATACTGTGTGAGCACTCCAAAGAACACTGTGAGTCTGTGCTTGGGATCGTGGGTCTACAGTGGCCTGAAGACACAGATTGTGATCAATTTCCAGAGGAAAATTCAGACAATCAAACCTGCCTAATGCCTGATAAAGATGTGGAAGGTTAATTTTTAAATTATAGTGGGTATCTAACGTGGATGAACATGTCAGCTACCTTTTGAAATCTTTCTGTTCTTTTGTTTATTTTTATTTTGTTTTGTTGTTTTTCTACTTAGCTGCAATTAGGCTGCATAGGTGAGTGAATCTACAAACTCGATTACATTGAACAATTTGGCACTCATCTGTTAGATGTCATCATCCTTTTTAAAATAATCATTTAAAAATAAAAATAAACTCAGATATGAGTTTCGTATTCAAGATGTTTATCATTTTAACAATACTTAACTCACAGAGTCCATTATATATGAATGCTACTTTTATACTAGGGGTCCTAAAGGTAGTGCTGAACATCAAGCCTTGGGTCCTTTAAGTACAAAGTATTTGGAGACCTTGGCAACGCAGGATCATCAAGTACAGCAATGGAATTGGGGACCTGCACACCAGGTGGAAATACTGGGATATGGAAGTGATTTTGACACATTGAGGACAGTTGGGTAGTCAGGGGCATTGACTCTACAAGGCACTGCAGACTCTGCCAACTGCTAGTTGTCCATTTGGAAAGATAATTAATCACTGGAAAACATAAACACTAAACTGCTGATCTGGAGAGATGATGCCAATGATGGAGGAGAAAGATGCTGATGAGTAGACAGGAAAGCCAAATAAATTTTGTTTCAGCTTTGTGGAAGACCATCCTTCCCTTCAGTAATAGCTCCTCAACAATATCCCACATGTAAATAGATTAGTTGATTTTCCTGGGGTTTTTGTCCATTGAGAGTAATATGGACTATTTTTAACAGAATGCTCACCTAGTCACTTCAAGTGCCGCTCGGGACGGTGTGTTCTGGCCTCCAGAAGATGTGATGGCCAGGCTGATTGTGGTGATGACAGTGATGAAGAAAACTGTGGTATGTATGTGAGGTGGCCCTTTTCTTGAATATACAGTAATAACTGGCTAGCACAAGGAACTGTGTTAAAAAATGTTAACCTTTCACTGACAGTAGTAAGCAGTGACCAGGATTGAGTGCTAATGCATTTCCTTCTTAAATTATGGAACATAAGGCATGAATTGAAAAGTGTTTTTCCTCTTAACTCTTGATTTTCCTTAAATTATACTTCTACTTATAACCTTGATGATATCTGTGCAAACGCTTAGTAAAAGGGAAGACAATTTACAAATGTAAGAAATTATTTTTATTATTGAATTATAAAGCATTGTTACTGTTCTAAAGTCAGAATAATAGTGTCTTTACATATGACTTCTGTGTTGCTAAACAGGCATCTAGATACACAAAGACAGAGTTCAGGCTCGATGTTCAAATTTAATTGGGATTAAGTTTCATGCCCTCTCTTATTTTGTCTCTGTTGGCAAAGGATAAAACTCTTCCTGATGTTTCTGCCATTGAGCTCCAAAATCACCAGTGGAAAGGCCAGAAATGCGAATGGTAATTTAAATGAAGCTAATTCCCATCTGCAAACCTTTGTACTTGCAACCTCGGAATGTGTCAGGGAACAGAAAACGGACAATGCTTTTTAGTAAACAATGTTCAGCAGTAAAACAAAATGACCGAAGGGCTAATTCGAAGAATAGTTTGGTTATGATTATTTAAGCTAGTCTTGCTTAAAAAAAGAAAATGATACTTTTTTCATTGAAAGCACATAAGGCAATACATCTTTTGAAATCTTTTCATTATTTTGGCCTTTCAGGTATGAAATATTGCCTTGCTCCCCAAAATGAATTTTCTGTGGTAGACATTGCCCTTCTGGTCTAGACAAAATGTCACAAGCAATCAACTGAAATTGTATTAGCTATTATAAATAAGGACAAGTGCATCTCTGGAAAATTACAGCTGTCAGAATGATGGTACAATGGCCGGGAGTAATTTTGTTATGTAGGAACATACAGTGTTCTAAGAAGCTACTGTTGTTTGATTGTTTGTGATCTTTTTGTAAAGAAATAAATCAAAAACTCATTGAATATTCCTTATATAAGTGATTTGTTGAGAATGTATGAGATTTGCTCACTTAACTATGACTTTGATTAGTTATGATATTCTGAAAAGCAATTTAAATGGATCATCTTAGATGATTCATAGAGGTTGCACGATACTCTCTTGGGGTGGCTAGATCTAGATTGCAGTAGGGGACTAAATATTTGAAAAATATAAAAGCTTAGTTTAAAACAAAAAACAACCCCCCCTCCCCAGCTTTACCAGGACTAAAAGGTCTGAGTTCTAGAATACAATCTGCAAAAGAGAAATTCAAAGAACTATAGTATAGTTTGGGGTTTAAATGTCCCTAAAATATCAGGTTCCTAGCTAAGTAGTGAGTTTTCATCAATACTTTAATCACACAATTAAAGACACACCAAAATGTTAGAATATATTGTCTAATCTCCATCAAACACTCAAAATATTGACAGCACTATTGAGAGCTCTAGTTAAGGAAAGTTATAATGGGTAACAAATTGAATACATTTGTAATTAAATTAATTGCTTCAACAGTATTAGTTCATGAGAAAACTCTCATTAAGTTTTCCAAAATGGTTGATAATAGAAACTTTACATATGTTCCCCTTGAGACATATGCATGCATTTGAATGAGCTTGTCTAGTGTGCTGGGAGGACATACCACTTATAATCAAATAAGGAAGTCAGGTGGATGAAGGCCAAGTAGAGTAAATCATCCAGTTCTCATTTTGCCTACTTGCTGTTTGCCTCTCTGTTTTCATGTGTGCATAGGCATACCATCTGCTAATGCAAACACCAGCTTCAGGAAATTTGGGTTTCACTCCAAACTTCATGTCTTTCTGATTTATTTTGTTCATTGAAAGCACTCAAATGTTTGGGCTTTGCCGAATAATGTGACAATTGACTATTCATTCTTATGAATCTGCAGCTTCCGTAGAACCTCTAACAACGTTATTGGATTTCCCCACAAAGCATTACTTGTTTAATTCAGTTATAAAGTAATTGATGTGTTAGAAATTAATTTTACTTCGTGTTTCTTTGGCACTTTTGTAACAGGAAAATATGGTAGCCAAACACTTAATTTCTAACTATATTTGAAAAATCTGTGCATTAGAACTTAGCAATATTATTCTGAAATGTCTCCCAATCTCATAGTAAGTTTTTGTTGTTGAAGTTGCTTTTATTGTGTAATTGCTAATGTAACCTAGTGTTGAAAATGTTGTCAGTATTAGAAATGTTTTCAACAAATGTTTGGAAGAATTATGCAAACCTGAACACATCAGTCCAGAATTGATTCATGGGAGGGAAGCCTAAGAGACAGAGGAGTAATTAGCAGAGTCAACACCGTCAATACAGAAGCACTTCTCTGTCTTAAAGGTTGATGGTTTGTCAGTAACTGAGTATACGCTATACGGATGGAGCTGTCTGTAAAACTAGCAACTTGATGAAATGAGTTTATTTTCAACACAACATTTCCCAAGCATTGATATCCAGTCAGCGGAGAACAAGGCGAAGATTTGGGCAAAGAAATGGACAAGAATGACATAAAAGAAAGGGGAACTAAAGAAAATAACAATGGGATTATATTTTGGGGCTTTGCTGTCACACTACAGATTCTAGTGTGTGAGGCTGAGGTTAGATCTTGCTAGGCTTTATGTCTACAATGTGGGTGAGCAGGTGGTTCCTGGGCTATGTTAGAGCAGCAAGTCTTCTCAATAGGGTGGGTTAATTCAGAATACATCAAAAACAGGTTATTTATAATACTGTTGAAATCAAACCCTTTATTACCATGAACACAGCATCATAATTACTAATTAATCACTATTCTAAGTAAAAGGGTGAACCCCATGTGGAAAAAGATTGACAGCAATACAAATGCCTGAGTGTCATTAAGTGACCTTCCAACTACCCTTATTTTATTTTTTATTTTTAAATGATTAAAAATCACTTTATCATCTATCTTTGGCTTCCTCTTGGGCTCAAATGAAATAGAACCTTTAAATATAACCTTAACTCTTTCTCAGAGTCAAAATCCCCTTAGGATGTATTTTAAGCTCTGATTCTATTATTTGCAGGTTTTATACACAACTTGATTTTAAAAGTTTTCCAAAAGGCTTTTTCCCCTATCCCTTTTAGACTCTTTAATAGCATTTGCCTAACTTAAGCACACAGAAGGGTGAACTGACTCTCTTAGTGCTCCAGATAGCCAATTTCTATGCCTTTGCATCCTTTTGCTTGTGGAACAGACCACTCTTTGCTGTGCGTCTAGCAGAAGAGTAAGGGTGTTGTGTCCATTCGTGTGGCACATCCACAAGTGTGCTTTCAGGATGAATCTTCGGGATTGCTCTCTGATCACTTACTAGTGTTTAATTTCCATGTTAAGGGAGAGACGTTCTCCTTCCCTTTAGGTACTTGGTAACTGTTTCACTGTCTGTGTTGTCTTGGCAGGCAGGCTGGGATGGCAGAGAGTGCTCTGCATAGACTTAGACTTGGATTTAAATCCTGACTCAGCACTTAGAGGCTGTGTGACTTTTGGCCACTCACTTAACTTCTTTGGGCCTCACCTGTAAAATGCAGAGAACTCCCACGTTATCCCCCCCCAGCTTGGAATGCTTGTAACATGTCCTCTTCAGTCCTCAGAAGACAGTAACAGGGCCGGCCCGGTGGCGCACTGGATAGTGCGCCGCTTGGGAAGCGCGGCGGCGCTCCCGCCCGAGGGTTCGGATCCCACATACGGACCGGCTCCCGCTCACTGGCTGAGCGAGGCGCGGGAGCAACGCTGAGGTTTGCAATCCCGTTGCCGGTCCCTGGTCCGGTACGGGGGCAACACTGAGGGTTGCGATCCGTTGCCGGACACGGAAAAAGACAAAAGACAAAAAAAAAAAAGAAGACAGTAACAACGAACCCACCTGCCATGGTGGTAGGAATTTCCAGAGGCAATTCCATTCGAAGGTCGCCCCAGGGGTCTCCCTTGTGGGAAGGAGTTCTGTCTAGCTTGGTCTTGTTTCTGACAGCTGTTTATGGCAGACGGGAACAGGCTGGCGTGTCATGTTTAAGGCATGGGTTGGGCAAAGTCCCTGGCTCACTTAGTAAACGGGTGGCAGGGTGATGTCTCGTCTTGGAGGTAGTGCTTGTTTCGGGATGGATGCTCTGTCTTCAGTGTCCCCAGCCTGCAGTTTAAAGCCCTTTTCATTCCTTTGCCCTGCCTCTTTCACAGGGTACTAGGCCACCACATGTTGAAGAGGATGACATGAGGATGGCACCCCTAAAAAGGAGAGATTTCTCAGGAATCAGGAAAGTTGCTGAGACCTTCTAAGTGAAGATGGTAGCTTTACGACCTGTGCTGGTGCTGCTGCCCCTGATGATCAGGCTCGGAGCCCAGCGGGGAGGCAGGTTCTCTGTTCTGGCTGATACTGTGGGTGCTGGGGCAGAGGCTTCTGTGGCCATGATTTGAGGGAAAGGGCTCCATTGCCCAGCGTTGCACACACTCTAGAGACATCTTTACGCCTGCTGGGCCTGGTCTCTGGCTGTTGCAGCTCCTGTGATCCACTCTAGGGTCATATCCACAGCCACTTTCTGGGGCAGATACTGGCCCAGGGTGGTTGCATCTGGACTGTTCCAGCTTCTGCCAGCTCAAAGACTCAGAATCACCTTGACTCCTTCCTTTTTGTGAGCAGCTCTACTCTGAAGGGTGAGATATTTTATTTTTCATGCAGCTCAAGTCAAGAGAATGAGTGGACCTATTTAGCCTATATTTGCATAACTAAGAGGTTCTTGCATCTGCTTTAAGGTGGTTTACTGTCTTATAATGACAGCTTTTTGTTGTTGTTGTTGAGAAACAAGGTGCCCCAGTTTAAGAGGGGCCTGACTCTGGTAGGGAATCCTGCTTCATAGTTTTTGTGAAGATGAGCGATAGAAAGAACCCAGCAGAATGCTTA